ATATTCTTATAAAAGGTATTTAAATTTTCAAACTACTTTTTCTCATTAATTTTAGATTTTAAGAAAAAAATTAGCAAGCACCCGTGTAATACACGGGTGTTGTACTAATATATAGTTAATTTCGAAAAAAACGTGGTATGGTTAATTCATAGTGAATATATTAAAATAATATTTTAATAAAATAATTAAAGTTAATTTGACGTAAAATAGGAAAAAAATGATTGGAAGTAATGTTTAGTTAAAATTATGTGAGTGGATAGAAAATTAAAATTGATGCCATGTGTGAGAATGATTTGTTTATATTATCTCCTATATGTAATTCTCGAATGCGCTGGCTGCTTCTGGTGCTTCGGAATCCTACTTGGCAAATGATCATGCTTCGTAATTAGGTTTGGACAAATAAGATCGATATATTAATAATTAATAATCTAGGTTTGGACATTCTATAAATATTATTTAGCTAAGTAGTATTTTAATATCACTTGTACTAATATAACCCTTTAATTCTTTGTAATTTTTCATAATGTATCCTTCAATTATAAGTGACTAATATATCCCTGACTTTTGATTTGTTTTCTTCAATTAACTATTGAATTGTAAATGTATTTTAAAAGTTGATAACTTTTGTGTTTCTTATCGGTTTTGCATATATAATATATCAAATTAATCATCTTTTGAAGATCTTCGATTTGACATCCATATTGTATATATGAAATAAATAAATTATATTTATCTTTATAATAATAATAAAATAATAATATTTATTAAAATTCATTAGAAAAATAAAATTATTTCTCAATTGATGTATTTATGTTTAATGTAGGTATATGTTGTAAGTTAAAAAATTATTATAATATAACACAGGTGAGTCGCACAAATAAAAAATGTCATACTAAATATATAATAATATATATATTTTTAAAAAAGTGATTTAAATTTTCAACTATTTTTTCTCATTAATTTTAGATTTTAAAGAAAAAATTAGCAAACACCCGTGTAATACATTGGCGTTATAATAGTTTAATTATATTGATAATATGACGGATAGTAGAGTTGAATTAAAGTTGAGTTAAATTTAAATTTTAATTATTATTGTTTTTTTTTTACCGTAGAAATGATAAACAATGGCCATGAAAAAGGATTATTGCTTTGTCTTTTTTTTTTTCTCTAAAACGACGATAATATATAAAAACTCAAAGGAAACATAATTACAACAACGTTTACCAAATGGTAACAGAGTTTCCACCAATTTACAATCAAAATATTGGAGGAAAATAAGGGGAGAATCAGGTAACATACCATGCACCCCCTCCACACCAAGCCTGACCTAAACCTATCAGAACAAAAATAAAACAAAGAAGATAAAATACACAAAAGCTAAACCAGACACCTACCAGAATATTACAGAGCCCAAAAGGAAAAGCAAAGCAAAGTATGTAGACATATACAATAGCCATGGGATAACCACCATCCTAGACAAAGAGGATTGAGCCTTCTCCTGCTTCCTCCAATCTGTGCCAAAGGGTAGTAGTCCTGAAGATTGAAAACTGATGACATACAGGTCACCCTAGACATCTCTTCAAGAACCTTCCTAGGCACTGCATCAACACTATTAGCTCCTACACTCACACCACAGGAGCCCTCCTCTCCTCAAATTCCTTCCATTCCCTCAACGCTCCCTCAGTTGTTTCTTTTTCTCCCAACCAATCTTTTCTAAAAATCCAGTTGTTCCTCGTTTTCCATAACCACCACAAAATGTAGGTGGTTAAGCTTATTCTGTCTTTGAGACATTGAGCATCATCAATTTTGCAAATTTCACCCCACCACTCTTTGAATGAGTTCTGTTTCAGTTTTAAACCTTCTCATCCAATGCCTGCAAATTTCCACACTAACTGGGCTCTCTGGCAAGTAAAGAACATGTGTGTTTGATCCTCTGGAGCCAGCCCACAACAACAACATATAGGATCCACCTTGGCCCCCTTCTTTTGCAGCTGATCTTTTGTCCCCAAATAATTGAACCAACACCTCCAAATGAAGTTCTTTATTTTTTGTTTAACTTTCATTTTCCAGGTTACCTTCCACACCCTTCTATTGAGTTTCAGCTCCTTACTAGATTCAGACACATTCATAAGCATTCTTTTATGCAACTCTATGACCCTGTAGGCAGATCTCACTGAAAATTTGCCATCTGAACTCGGGTCCCACACTAATCTACATTTCTTCAAATTGAGGTATGGGGATTTTGAGAATAAGTTTGGAGTCCCTTGAGTTAAATGTTTTCATTACTAGGTCTCTGTCCCATCTGGTTCCTTCAGCATTCATAAGATCTCTCACAACAGTCAATCTTTCTTTATCCACAACATTTTGCAACTGAGGTTTAAATTTAGGGGCCTTTGGAATCCATGGAGTTTCCCATATTTTGATGCTTCTGCCATCTCCTACTTGGAATCTAAGACCAAGCTTGAGAGACTCTTGCTCCCAGCCAAGACTTCCACAGCCAGGAATCTGAGCTTTTATGAGCCACTTCAAATATATTTTGATTAAGAAAGTACCTCCATTTCATTACCC